GTGGATCATCTATTCTTGCACTGTCCTGTTGGCTCTATCATTATGGAATAAATTGTTTGAGTTAGTTAGCCTTTGTTGGGTGGTTCCAAGATCTATATTATCTGTGATTTGCTTGCACTTTATGGGTTCGGGAGGAAGTAGAAGAGGAAAGACTAATTGGCATTGTGTTCTCTTTGCAACAATTTGGGTTTTATGGATGGAGAGAAATTCGAGAATCTTTGAAGATAAATAGGAGGGAGTTGAGGAATTATGAGACTGGCTTTACTTCTTGAATTCTTTTTTGGGCATCCATGACAAAGGATTTTGATAATATTCCTCTTTTTGGTATCACGACTAGTTGGACTGCATCATGTGGATTGTAATGTGGTCCATTGTCTAGTCTTCTGTTTTTCACTTTTTGTTTTACTACATTATTTGGATGGACGAAGTCCACTTTTGATTGGTTCTTGTTCCAGTATTTTTATTTCAATTATTAATAAAATTGATTTTTCTTACCGAAAAAAAAGGAGAGAGATCTGGAGACAATGGGAAAGTCAGTGTTGATTCTTAATAAAGGGTCTATTTGTTACATGTTTTAGCCTTCATGCCAAGCTAATTACGCATTTTCCATGCCTTTCCTGTTTTGTGAAGGACTGCACACATAGCATTTTGGAGCAAATTATAGGTAAATTATTTTATGTATATATGTGAGAACCTATCATGTGTCTGTTACAACGTATCAACAATATTCGATTACTAACCTTTTTGTTATGTCTTTTGGTTGTAATTTGTGCTAGAGTTATACCAAAAAATTGCTCTCTTTGAGTTTCATTCTTGTGCTTGTTACTTCTCAGATCAGGAAATATTGCTCTTGCATACAAAAGTTGACCTCGTAGTAACGCTTGGTGGGGATGGAACTGTCCTTTGGGTATGTCCATCCAGTTTCACTTTTTTCTGCATTCAATATGATTACTATTTATCTTTTGGAGAACTACAGTGTAGTACCATTTACACACTCTCCAGGAGTCTGGGTAGAATTATACCTGCTTAGCTGCAATTCTGCTATATTTCTGAAAATATGAATGATATATTTTTTTTGTGGTACCTTTGTTGAACCTCTTGATCGTTTATGGAAAATATCCGATATATCAGTACTCGTAAAACTTCTAAAATATGAAGGAAATCATATCAACCACCTTTTAACCTTAAATTAACAAATTAGACTTAAACTTTATTGTAGCATGCAACTCAGAAACAACCGACATTGAGTGGGAAGATACAAAAGGCAGCTATAATACTTTGTTATATTAGTTTGGAAGGTGTTACCAGGTGGGACAAACTCTTAACACTCTTCTGCATGGGCGACCCCTACTTGCATCTGGAGTGGTAAATAGAAGAGGCAGACAGTCGACCCGAACAACAAAGGCTGTTGTATAATAAGATGCCCTTATAGCACAAACAAAAATGGAACCCAATACCAAATTAGTGAGATTGAAATAGAAAATCTCGCCCAGACCCATGTTTAAGCATTTAATTCTAAGTCAATTGGCAATGCCTGGAAAGGCCCACATGTCTCTACCTCTATGTGGGACAACTCCTAACGGTACTAAACTTAGACAAGGCTGAGAGTACTCCATATCCTCGTTATTTACTCCATCCATATTCAAACTCTGTGTGGGGTCAAGTCTAACAAGTTTGTTATGTGTAGTGTCTCGTGTCCACATGCAGTTCTAAAAAATGGAATTAGTTGTGATGGTGAACCTTTATGTATGGTTTTAAGTTTGTTGATTTGTATCGATTGTCAAAATTTAAGGTTTCTAACTCCAGAATTGTAGTGGCATAGCCATGTGAGTTTACCCTTTCATTCCAATGGAGGTTAGTTTACAATTTCCTGCAGTTTTTTCAAACCATTGGATGATCGTAATTCAATATTAACTATGGATGTGACATTTAAGGGATTTAGGGTATGATCTTGTAACGCCCTAAAACACACCCTGGATGACATTACATTCTAAAACCATTCATATCATGAGATCACTAATATAATCCCTTAAGAAACAAGATTTCATTTGTCATCCACGAATATTTACAACATTATCCAAAAGAATAAGCCCAAGTCATGACTATTACATCTCAAAAATTAATTAAGGAAGCGCAGCGGAATAAACAAAAAAAGCTAGACTACACAATGTTCCAAAAGAATGTCCTAGTCTAGTACAAAAGGAAAGGAGGTTGCTTTATGCGTTTACCTCGGGATCCATACTCCCGTCTCATGGAGTCTCCCAAGTTGCGGGCTCCTTGACCCTTACGTCCTCCTCCTCAAGCGGGTAATCTGAAAAATGTTAGCGATAGGGGGTGAGCACGAAGCTCTGTAGAAACATTCTCCCAAACCCATACAAGGTTTAGAAAAGCATTTAAAATGGTCGGTCTCAATTTTAACATAACATAGATACATAATTTGAAATAAAGCAGTGACATTTAAAAAGGATCTCAAGTTTATTTAAAAACATTACTTAAATGAATAAATGAGCACCACATACAAATAATAACAATTAATTGTCATAACCAATTTTTAACAATTCTTTCGGTAGGTGGCATACTTTGTGGTAACCTCCACCCCCCTTTTAGGTCACCTTTGATTCTCAAGCATCCTTACCGGGAACCTCTTGAAAATGGACGAGCATCCTTACATGGAACCTCTCACCAATCACTACATTATTTCCCAAGCATCCTTACCGGGAACCTCTTGGGAAGGGGTGAACATCCTTACAAGGAACCTCTCACTCATGTGCATCATAAACAACCCAACCAAGCATAAAATTTTAACATTTATCTCAATTTACAAGCATCTATCCAAAATTTTCAAAATATATCATATAACAATTTCACAACTAACTAAGAAAATACATGAGATCACAATAACATCATTTTTCTACCCAACACAAAACACTAAGGTTTTGAAATCCATAATAAAGAAAGCATTTAGGAAGGAAATACATCACTCTCTAAAAATTAGGGTTTTAAAACTAGAAAGAAGATTTCATGGGTATTAAACCCTATTTTGTTCAAAACATGTAATCCTTGCAAAAATCCTAAGAGAGGATGATTCCATAGCATATATATATCATTGATAGCCAAAACATACATATATAAATACCCTAGCCTCAATGTAAGGGAATGAGAGAAAACCCCTACATTGAATCCTTAGCTTTGGAGTGAAGAACAAGAATATTTGATCTTGAATCACCCTTGAATCTCTTATTTTTCCCTTCCTTTCTTCTTCTCTAATGTCCTCTACGGTTTCAAGAGGTGTGGGGGTGTGAGGGGAGTGAAGGAAATGAGAGCAAATGAGATGAAAATGAGTTTAAAACATAGCAGCCCCGAAAAATACTGTTCACAGGCTGTTTTGGGTTTTTCCAAATTTACGGTTTTGCCACTAAGAATCTCCAATTTGATCCATATGACTACCCTAAAGTTTTTCGACGTTCCGGATTCATTTTTAATGTTATTTTAACCTAAAAACATTTATTTTTATGATTTATCTCAACACCCAAGTCAACGTATACCCGAAACACTAAAATTTTTATTTTACCCATCCGAATCGGCTATTAATGAAGTTTTGCGATGTTTACAAATAAAAGATGATAAAGGGTGTTTCTTAAAGCCTTTTATACTTATTTGAAGTCTAAAAGTACTCATTATTTTTATATTTTGATTTAGGATGCAAATGGAGACATTAAATGCAAAACGAAGCTAATTGGACTATTTCGACATCATTTCGTTATCTGAGCATAAATCTCTCATCCAAGCTCCGATTGAGATGATTCAAGATGCTATGGAATGATACGAAAGAGCTCTAAAACTTTCATGTTTTGAGTTTTGAGAGATATTGACTGCATCAAGGTCTAAATCGAGTTTGAAGTTGCAGCAGTGCACTGTTCATAACCTGTCTTCGTCCCTTTTCCATTTTCAATCCATTCCTAAGCCAACCAAATCTATTCCAAACCTCTCCAACACATATTTCTACACCAAACCTATTTAATACAAGTTCTAGGACCTAAAATTTCATATTTTCACTTATTAAAATCAAATTTCAACTATTATTTTCACTAACATTTTAAATCTCTACTTTTCCAATCTACCAAATTCAAACACACATCACTACATATATCCACATTTTTTTTTATCACAATTATTTACTATATATCTATATACATATATAAAAGAAAATGCGGGGTGTTACAGATCTTGTTCTTTCAAATATGTGAATTGTCTCTCTTGATTTGAAAGCTGAAGTGCCTACATTCTAATCCACTGATTGTCAGAAAAGGGATATAGAACCACTTTTGAAAAGATGTTATGCTTTAAGATACCGTCAAGGATCAAAATTCTGTTTTGGTTAGCTTGAAAATAGAAACGTTTTGGAAATACTTCAAAATCATGATAAAAACAAAGAAAAAATAGGAAATTTATTTGTGAAATATTCTGAAACATTGGTCAAAACATACAAATACATAACGAAACACATCGAAACAGCTCAAAACATATGTCAATCATTCATTCGTCTCGGTTTCTATGGAAAAACGAGGTTTACTCCTTTGGATACCATAGTCTACTTTACTGCAACTTAGTTTTCCATAACGGCCATCATGATACTGTTCCTTGTTGCCTGCCAGCGTTAGCCTGTCATATTTAATACAACTTGGTATCACTTTCTTTGAGGCATAGAGCTGTAATACTTCTATTGGGCAGATGTAACAATGTAAACTGTCTGGGTTATTTTTTGTTTTTTTTGAAAATCAAAATTTATGGTTTTGATGATTACAGCACTTAAAATGTCTGGGCTATTTGCCCCCATGTCTGCGAGTCAAGACTATGCTTAAACCACTGTAATGTGAAAATGTGGAATCAACTTGTTTAAATTTGAAACCATGAAGTAGTATGGTTGTGTACTACAGTATCTATTTGGATTTGGCCTCTTTGCAAGTGAAATTCAATATTCTGATGACAGGCTTTCTTGTATGCAGGCAGCATCAATGTTCAAAGGTCCTGTTCCTCCCATTGTCCCCTTCTCTTTAGGTTCTCTGGGCTTCATGACCCCATTCTGTATCCTCCCTAGTTATTGAAAGTTTTTCTGTTCTTATAACTATTATTTTGTTTATCAGTGAAAATAGAACACCAGATCTCCAGAGTCTTTGGTTCCCTTTTGGCACTGTGCTAAACAGATCTGGAAAAGGGTGTGCTTATCTTGAAAAAACTGAAACCAGAATCTGGAAACCCCCATGCAAGAGCTTGTTTCTGTGCAATGTATATTTTATATGAAAAGTCGTCTTTAACATTACTCAGACAGTGAACATTACAGAGAATATCTTAATTCGATACTTCGTGGTCCCATAAGTATCACACTACGGCACCGGTTGCAGTGCTTTGTTATTCGAGATGCAGCCAAAAATGAATGTGAGACTGAAGAACCAATACTTGTTTTGAATGAGGTTACAATTGATCGTGGCATGTCATCGTTCCTCACAAATCTCGAGTGCTACTGTGACAATTCCTTTGTGACCTGCGTACAAGGGGATGGTCTGATCTTATCAACAACATCTGGAAGCACTGCATATTCCCTGGCAGCTGGAGGATCAATGGTCCATCCACAGGTATGTCTTACTATCTTTTCTTCTGTGTTTGATATAATTTGCTTAGTAATTGAAGCACACATCTATGAATATCTTATAAGGATTGGAACTGAAATATATGGACATTGTTTTACCTAAGCATGGCAGTTGATCACAATATCTGTGAAGTATACGTGACTTGTTTGAATTAATGTTTTTATCAATTTAGACGTAAGTAATCATGTTTTCAAAGGTGAGAATGGTGGTATTGAACCCAAATTATTCAAATTTTAGGATTTGCTGAGACAAGTGTGGAGTGTCTGGTGGCAGTTGACTGATTTCAAAGTCAGACTATGCCCTTGTTCCTCTTGCTCGGAAACAAGCATTATACCAAACATGATCCCTCCACTCTTAACACTTTTATCGACCTCCCCTGCATTCATAATTTGTTACTCCAGATATTTCACACATGTGGAGGTACAAATCATTAAATATCATATATTATCTGATACTATTACTGGCTGAGAACTTGCAAACAAGTATTTGAACTTATGCACCTTGTGTCTGTGTGCCTAGAAAAGAAAAAGTATTTATTAGCAATTACTCATTTAGACACTGATGAGTTAGGTTCTTTAAGGATTAGACTTAGCACCATTAGGGATGGTGGTAGACATTTGGTTTATGTGTTGTCTATGTGCAGTGGACGTGCCTTTTCCCCTACTATGGGGAGACAATTAGTTGAATGCATTGTAAGGACAATGAACGCATGTCAAGGTAGTGATCATGGACATGTAACTTTTACCAAGAGCTAGGGGCAGCTATAAAAAACAAAGGCCTTGGCAAAAATTTTAATTGAGGTCCTATCAATATTTAGTATAATAATATAACTATTACTAAGTAATTAATAAAATATTAATATAGGTGAAATTGTAGAAGTGATATTAGGGTTTGTAAGAAAAGGAGAAGAGAAGAGAAAAGAAGAAAGGAGAAAAAGAGAAAGGGAATAATCTGTTGTGTGTAGGCTATGTTGCCCTACACTCTCTTATTTATAGTAAACTGATATTAGAAAAATTACAATATTATTCTACACTACTAAGAATATAAATAAGAACTCTAGCAATATATATTAACTTGAATATTATTTTTCTTGCTTTTTGAAATGCAACAATAATAATCAAGTTTTTCCATTCAAATTTCGCCCGTGAAAACTCAATAATTGATGTTGATTCAGAGGCCAAATGTAGTTCAACCTGCTATTGGTTAAAGATATAGAGGAAACTCTCTTTTGAACTTGTCTCTGCTTTTTTGAACTCTTTAACCTTTAACCATGCCTCTATTATTACATTTGTAGCTAGTCTTAGAAAGTTAGTTCAATTCACTCTATTTTTTGGTCATTTTGTGCATTGTAAAAAATAATTAAGCAAAACATTGAACCCAAATAAAAAAGGCCATGAGTTTAACCTAAGAAATAAAAGTTACCATTCACAACAATTAGGTGGTAGACAATTGATCAGTCAGTCGCTTTTCACAACAATGCGTAAAAATTATGTTAGGATATGACATCTTTTCTATAATTATGCTACACTGGGTAAGACTTGGGCGGAGCTACACATAAGAGAAGGTGGGCACTTGCCCTCACTAACTTTTGTACAATCCTTGTATATTTATAATATCAAATGGTCATTCTTCTATTCAATTTCATCCGGTGACACCCTTGTTTTGTGAAAATTTATATGGTGGTCCTAGTTTATTTTCTTTTTGGTACATCAATTGCTCACTTACCCTTATAATCCATTAAAACAAGAGTAATGCTAGACTGACCAAAAAAATGGGACCAAAAACACATACCAAATGATGTGGCACATTACCAATAATTAAACAAATTTGAATTTTAAATGTGTAAAAGTAAAACCAACAGCACCATTATAGTAATGCCACATCATTTGGTCAGTTTAGCATTACTATTGGAACAAATTTTTTTTTGGATTGCTTGAAACCAATGTGAAATGCTAAAATATCTTAACCCAATCTGTATTATATTTTTTCAAAGAATCAAATTTCTGGACAAAATGTATGATGATTTCAATTAAATTTCACCACAAAATGAATGATGATTTTGTCCTGGACTCTTTGATTGTATAAATTGAAAGGAAATTGCTAAAAACTTTAGTATTGAATCAATTTTATACGATTTGAGAATTTAGTTTAAATCTTAATATATTTCTCATGCTTATACTTCAAAATTCTATACATTAGTTGATGGATTTTTTCTTCATGTTTTGCTCTCTCTAAAATGAAAATTTGGCTCCGTCCTAGGTAAGACCAAAAAAATCAGGCAAAACCCAGAGCCTTCAAATATTTTTCTAAGAGATCCTAAACAATTTCATTTGGGACCCTAAAATTTTGTTTTCATTTGGGGACCTAAGCAGCCACTGCAATGGTCAATGTGTATGTCTGGCCCTGGCAAGGACATGACTCCAGATGGATTGAGATAAGAAAAAGGAAACATGTAGTCTCCTGGTTCTCCTTCAATTTATTTTATTAAGATTGCCCAGTTAGATTAATGTTGCAAACAAATTGCAGGCTCACAATTACTTGCATCAACTACCAAGAATTCATGTATTTGATATTATGATACCATTCATTTATATAATTTAACCAAAATTGCAGGTTCCTGGCATTCTGTTTACACCGATTTGCCCACATTCCTTATCCTTTCGGCCTCTGATATTACCTGAGCATGTGACACTTAGAGTGCAAGTACCCTTCAATAGCAGAGGCGACGCCTGGGCATCCTTCGATGGGAAGGACAGAAAACAGTTAGCACCCGGGGATGCTCTTGTGTGCAGCATGGCACCTTGGCCTGTACCCACCGCGTGTCAAGTGGATTCCACCAGTGACTTCTTGCACAGCATTCATGAAGGCCTCCACTGGAATTTGAGGAAGACACAGTCTTTTGATGGCCCTCGAGATCCATAATCTTAAGTTTTTTCTTCCTGGTTTTTAATTTTATTCGGGCCAGTCTCAGAATAATAAACATCTGAGAGCTGAGTCAATGTTGCCCATGAGGAGAAAACAAAGCAGTTCATGAGCATTTACTTAGTTTCCTGATTATATTAGTTGATTGGTGTAGAGAGTGCATCTCAACTGATCAATGTTGTTGTAGGCTTAGAAAGACCATGATATAGCAATTACAAGAGTATACATATACAAGAGAGTCATATAATTTTCTGTATAACTCTCTCTCTCTCTCTCGAATATTTTATATATATATATATATATATATATATATATATATATATATATATATATATATATATATATATATATATATATATATATATATATATATATATATATATATATCTGTGTGTGTGTGTGGGTTATTGTTGTTTTAAACTGTTATAAAAATCTGAGTTCAAAAGAACCCTTTTCAATAAAAATCATATTGGAACTTTTTCCTTTGCAATCATGTTACACTTTTAAGACCCCGTCAATATATTTAATTTTCATAAACACCGATGACAATTTTACGCATAATTTTTTTGCTAACTACAATTATTTGTACATAAAAAAAACTGATAGAATAATCGCTACCAAATGTTTGTGGTCTTAGTAGTATTCAAAAATTATTTAAAAATCTCAATTTTTAGTTAAATTGGTATAGGATTTTATTTATGGTAAAATTGACATTTTTTCAAAAAGAGTCGTTAGAGCATTTTCAACTCAGACTCAAATTTAAATTTGAGTTAAAATGACATAAAAAATTTCTATAATCTTAGACCCAAATTTATATCAAATAAAAAAAAAATTATTTTTGTACTCAAATCGAGGGAGATTTTAATTCTATGTCAAATTTTCAACGATAATTTTTTATCTTATCCAAATCCTAACTCTTTCGATGAAATAAGTTCTTGCCTTTATCTTCAAAGTCTGTGTCTTCGCTGCCAACCACACCATCTATCCCTGTCTCTATTATTTTTCGATGGTAACTTTTTATTCTCTTTCTTCTCTCTGTCTCTCTCTGACTCACACTCTATCTATCCCTTTTCTCTCATAAACTCTTATTCTCAAAAAATCTCTCTCTCTCTCTCTTGTCTCTCGTCTCTCATACTAGGTAAAAAATTTATGAATCTGCCACTCAAAGAGGTTGATATTATTGTTTTTTCTTTTAGTTAATATCGGTGAAGTTTGTAAGAAACAAGTTTTAATATTGGATAAAATATTTCGATGAGAAAAATTAAAAAAATGAGCTTTGAGACAGTAAAAGAATATTTTAAAATATTTGAGTAGATATTTAAATTTTTCTATTGAAGAGTTCTATATCAAATCAAATTTTTTACTCAAATTTTTATTCAAATTTGAGTCTAAATTTATGTTATGGTTAGAAATACTCTAACAATGGAGTATATTATATTCAAATCACCCATTCAATTTGCCAATGAAGTATTTATTTGCTTTTGAATTTGAGGGTCACTATTTTTTAGGTTTGATATCCCTATGTTTTGAATTTTATTGAATTGGCTATGGATAACAAAAGTCAAAAGTCAAAAATCAAAAGTCAATGAAGTATAAGCTATCTTAGTAGTAGAATAACAATACTAGGGGTGGTTCTTGGCCCAAATTTGAGGTCGAGGGGCAAGCAAGGTTCCCCTCCCTACCTTCTTTTACTTAAATGAAGGGTAAGTAACGCTAGTAGACCACTGAGTAGGGTGGTTTAATAGGATATCGATCTTACTCTTTATTTTGAGGTTGGGAATTTGAGTCTTGGAGTCTCAGTTGGGACTTGGTAGTTGACCGATATATTAGCCTAGCCAAGTTTGGTCCCAAGAGGTGTTTCAGGTGCGGTCAGGGGCCTTATGATCCCACCGGTAAAGACCTATCGGGGTAGTTACTGGACGCTCTTCCTTATCTCCACCTTTTTTTTTATAACCAGCAAAAAAAGAAAAAAAAAGAAAAAAAAGCTCTAGTAGCCCATATTACAAGGGGTATTAAGAAGGACCCTAAGTTTTTAATGGACTAAATTACCTTGACGAGGTCTGTTATTTATTATTTAAAGAGAGTGATTCCTCCTTAACGAATTAAAAGATCGTTCAACATTCAATTATACTCCTTCCGTTTTTAAATATCTGTCGTTTAAAGGTTTTACACAGATATTAAGAAAACTATTAAATAGCTCTAATATGAGTAAAAAATAATTGCACAAGACTAAAATACTTTTATTCAATACGTATTGAGAATGAAAGAAATATGAAAGACACTTATCCTCTACCTAATTTAATGCATTGAAAAGTTAAGGATAAATTTGGAAGAAAAATTATTAATTATGTTTTGATTTCATAAAACAACATATATTATGAAACAAAAAAAATTATGTAAAATGACAGATATTTAGGAACAGAGAGAGTGGTTTAACATTTCAACAGTCGTTTCAAATTTTATGATCAAGATCTCTAAAAAATAAAAATCAGTCATTTACACTTACTTTTTTTTCATCCTGCCAACCAAAACTCCCAAGATCCATATATGTATATACAAACGTACATGCATGACTTAGCTAGAGCAATTTTTTCTTCGGTCTGCACAATTTTCAATTTTTTATCTTTACTCACGCTCCCAACATGAATTCACAAATTGACTATGCATGAATTCCCAAATTGAGAGCAAATTCGTCATAAATTCATACTCTCATTTCAATAAATTCACGTCTTCGTTCAAATAAATAAACAAATTCGTTCAAATAAAAAAAAAAATTAAGTAAACATGCACAAATATTTTAACCAAGTCCCAAGGCAAGGCTTCTAACTGGGCTCGCCGCAAGCAACCAATGGTTATTGCCCCAACCTTTACTTGCCTCATTCAGAAGCTTTCACCTTTTGCTGTTGGTGAACAGAGGACCACAGCCTTTTAGAGGCAGCAGTAGCCTGCACTTTTTCATTGATCGTCAGTATGGGATCTACATCCACACTTGAACAAGGCACAAGGCACAAGGCACAAGGCACAAGGCACTTCATTTCCTTAAGGCTTTTTCTTTAATTGTTTCATATATTATTTCAATGTCAGATTCAAAAATCAAATAAATAGTTAACCAAAGTTAAATAACTTATCATATATTTGCATATAAAATTTAACTTTTAAAAATTTTTTGTTAATAGTTTTCTACATAATGTGAACATGTACATGTGTGTGTGTATATATATCTCTACTAAGTATACTGTTATATGCAAATAATTTAATTAAAATAAAAATTGAAATAATACATTTACTGTGACGCAGAACAACAATAAATTAAATAATAAAAAATCTAGAAATCCAACAATCACTCATATGATTGAAAATTCAATGTATAAAAATGCAAACACTAGTTTAACAATAATTGAAAGGTTATTGCATTGGGATAAGTAGCCTAGTGGCCTTAAACTTTCTGTAGTGAAAGACAATTAGATTTACTTGGCTAATTAATGGACTTGATGTCTTTGAACTGTTAGTTGTTTATGTAAACTAGGACAATAAAATTTACAAATTTTCCTTCGGACACAGTTGATTCTCAAGTTTGTGTTTATTTTGCCCTTGAGCAGTACTTTGTTTCACGAGTAATTTAGAGTAATCAATCTATGATTCTCATATAATATGCCCCTTCTTACTCACATATGTGATTTCTGATTGAGAGTATTCTTCTATACCTTACTTGGACTTTTTCAAGTCACAAAAATCATTAAAATCGTAACTTACTCCAGTTCTCGCAATAGATATGCACTACCTTATTATATGAATGAGAAGGAGTTGGAAACTTTCTCAGTGCACTCTGAGTTATACATAATTCCATTGTCCCTTTGAATTTAGATTTTAGGATCTTCATTTAGTTAAGTTGAGTTGCCATTATGGTGACTCTTGGTTAAATAATAGGCTCTAAGCCTATTTTCCTTGATGAATTTTTTACTTATTCTCTAGTCAAACTTTTTATAAGTGGATCCGTGATATTATCCTTTAACTTTACGTTATCAATGGATATAATACCATTCGAGAGCAACTGTCTAACAGTACTGTGTTTACGACCTATGTGTCGGGACTTACCGTTATACATACAATTTTGTGTCATTTCAATTGTAGATTAACTATCACAATGTATACATATTGCTGACACAGACTTTGACTAATTTGGAATGTCCTCTAAGAAGTTGCAAAGCTATTCTGCTTCTTCTCCAACTTTATCTAAGAGAATGAATTCAGATTTTATTGTAGATCTAGCAATATATGTTTGCTTTGAAGATTTTCAAGACATGACTGCACTTCCCAAGACATATCCACTCATGAATTTTGAATTTTTAGTATCAGATATTCAATTAATATTAATATATCCCTCGAGTACACGTAGATATTTTGTCAAATTGAAATCAATGAGGTATACTCTAACTTGATAGTAGAATAATAATACTAGGGGTTTTTAGCCCAAATTTTAGGGGCCAAGCAAGGTTCCCCTCCCTACCTTCTTTTACTTAAAATGAAGGGGACCGCTAGTATTCCCTATTACAAGGGGTGTTAACAAGGTCCTTAAGTTTTTAGTGGATTAACTCACCTTGATGAGGTCTGCTATTCAAAGAGAGTGACTCTTCCTCAACAAATTAGAAGAGCCTCCAATATTCAATTACAGCTTGACACCTCAAAGATCGTTTCAAATTTTATGGTCAAGATCTCTGAAAAATAAAAATCAGTCATTTACTTAATCCTAATTAATGCCTTTTACATACAAGAAAATGGATCATATTTTTTCAACTCAATTTCACTCTTTCACTTTTCTTCATCTTGCCTACCAAAACTTCAAATTATTTTTTTCACTTAAGAGTTATTCAAATTATTTTTTTATTTATATTTAAGTACCTCGTGACAAGTTTATAATAAAAAAATATTAGCAATTTAGATACTATCTACTTGAGGGACCATATAGAAACATATTCAATACTTCAAGGGCCAAAATAATGTAATTAAAATATTGGGGATCAAAATGAGACAAACTCTATACTTTAGGGACCTCTAGTACAATTAACCTTAAAAACTTTTTATCCCTGAGAAAAACCAAAAATTTGCATGTTCCTTTGATTTGATTTTGCAATTTTAAAAAATGTTGAAAAAAATCTTTTCATAATTAGGTTTAATATACACAGAAACCAATATTAGATTCTTTCCGTTCTCCCAATGTTAGGTCTTCTGGTTTATAATAGCTAATCAACGACCCATTTGAATATAGTGGATTCTATTTGAATTCATGGTGAATGATCTAACCATAGTCGATAAAATCTCATATTATAGTGGATTTTGAATCTTGATTGCATGATAAGACACATGAATTTTAGTGAAAGACCAATTAACAAGACTTAATTTAGTTAATCACCCTTATCTTTTTCAAAAGAGAATATTAGGGGTCAACCTTTGCTTATAAAAGACAACGATTGATCTTTATGCCCTTTATTGAAAAAAATATTGGGTTTAATCGTTACCACGTCAACAGTATGTTTTGGTGTTTGTTCTAATGCTTGTCATAGATTGATTGGATTACACTACCAATATGCCGTTCCTTATATAAAATAGGGCAAAATCTAGTTTACCCCCTTGTGGTTTGGTCGTTGTGCACATCACCTCCTTGTGATTCAAAAATCGGCACATAGCCCCCTTGTATTTTTGGACTAAAGTGCGACCGTTACTATTTCTGTCAAAAGTGACAAAAATTGTAACACACGTGCTAGATTGGCAAGTATGGATATAAAAAATTTAAGTTAAAGTCAAAACTCAATCTAAAAGTCCAAATATACCCTTGTGATCTTTCAAAAAGACATTTTTTTTATTTTCTTCTACATTTTATTGTTAGAAAAAATATATTAGATTTTTCATCTCTATTCTACATTTTTTTCGTCTCTGTGCCTCTCCAGTTCTCGCCTCTTCTCTCTCTTTCTTTTAATTGTTCTTGTGATTTTCTGTGGGGATGGTGGGAATTTTTCAATGGGTTTGGGGGTGGGTTTCAGGAGCTGTAGGGAGTGAGTTTTCGAGACTATTGAGAGTCGGTTTTTAGGGGTTTGGGGTGGGTTTTCAGGGGGTGTTGGGTGGGTTTCAGGGGGTTAGGATGAGTTTCAAGTATGACGTTGGGGGTGGGAGTTTCGGTGGTGTTGGGTTGTTGTTGGTGGGGGTGGGGGTGGATTACAAGGGGTTTGGGGTGGGTTTTCAAGGGTGTTGGGTGGGTTTCAGGGGGTTAGGGATGAGTTTCAGGTGTGGTGTTGGGGGTGAAAGTTTCGGTGGTGTTGGGTTTGTTGTTGATGGAGGTGGGTTTTCGATATGGGTGGTTGGTGGTGGGTGGATTGCAAGGGATTTGGGGGGTGGATTTGTGGTGAGGTTAGGTGGTTGCTAGTGGTGGGATTAAGTGGTGTTGGGTGGTTTTTCAGGGGGGTGTTGGGTGGTTTTTCAGGTGTGGCATTGGGGGTGGGGGTTTGGGTGGTGTTGGATTGTTGTTGGTGGGGGTGAGTTTTTGGTATGGGTGGTTGGTGGTGGGTGGATTGCAAGGGGTTTGGGGGGTGGGTTTGTGGTGGGGTTAGGTGGTTGCTGGTGGTGGAATTAAGTAGTGTTGGGTTTTTCAGGGGGGTGTTGGGTGGTTTTTCAGGTGTGGCGTTGGGGGTGGGGGTTTTGGTGGTGTTTGGTTGTTGTTGGTGGAGGTAGGTTTTCAGTATGGATGGTTGGTGGTGGGTGAATTGCAAAGGGTTTGAGGGGTGGGTTTGTGGTGGGGTTAGGTGGTTACTGGTGGTGGGATTAAGTGGTGTTGGGTGGTTGATTTTGGGTAAAATCTCAAACATGTTTTTTATATTTTTTAATTTTTATCACAGAAAAATAAAAACTAATTTTTTGCAACCATGATGTGATTTAGTGGTAATGACCAATGACCAATGATTCAGTGAAGAGTTGAACAGTATGTGAAGATGCATTGGGATTGGAAAAGATATAGTGGCAAAGTTTATTAAGATTTTAAGGAGGGCAAAATAGTCTTTTTGCCATTGTTGTTAACAGTGTTAGCTACGCACTTTAGTCCAAAAATACAAGGGGGCTATGTGCTAATTTTTTAATCACAAAGAAGTGATGTGCACAACGACCAAATCACAAAGGGATAAATTGGATTTTTTCTTTTAAAATAATAGCAATAAAGGGGAATGGGTGATGTGATTGAAATTGTGGGGGGGGGGGGGTGGCGGGGGGTTGAATATGTGGGAATAAAAATCAAATACCTATCTTTGTTATGATATAGATTTAACTAGAAAATACAATGGATCGTACTTCAATTTATGATAAATAATTCAGTATTTAGTGATTAATACTTTTTTTTTTGTCAAATAAGGAGGATGGTATTGGTGGATCTGGATCTGGTGGCTTGATCTGCCATAATAGTATGCTTATTATATATAATAGTTATAGTAAGTTGATTTGTGTATAAAATTTGACCTTGCAGATGGCAATTAGAGACGAAAAGAAAGTCTTCTCACATGCATATTACACCACACCAAACTTAATGAAAGGAAATTAAACATATATTTTGAGCTGTAACCACTCTCAGATATTCTCTCTCCCCCCCTCTTATGTGAACTAAATAAATACAGAATATTGTACAAAAATAATAACTCTGTGTTTAAAGAGATTTTGCAATACAAAAAAATGAACATTAATTATATTTTTTTTGTATTTTAAATAAAATTTTATTATTATTTATTTAATTACACATATTAAAATATAAGTGGACAAAAAAAAAGAAAGAGAGAATTAGTGAAGAAAAAAGAGAGAGATAGTAGAGTGTTATCGGACATTAAAGAGTGTATTGGTTGAATTGTCTGATATCCAGGATTGTGTAGTGAAGATGATATTTTTAGACAAGAATTTTTTCTTAGAATAAATTTTGTGCAGTTAGATAAAATTGAATTAATTTTGACAATTATTTTATTTTATAAATATAAAATTTAAATTATTAACTATAATATTAAATAATCAGACCTACAAAATAATAATAATAATAATAATAATGAGGTAACCAAAGCAGTCAAGGAGGATGGTCTTTACTCCACGAAGAAAACGAGAAAAAATGCTAGGGTAGTTAAAATGATAGAATAAATATGAGTTGTAAATTTAAATGTTCTAAATTTAAATTTTGATAATTTTTTGGAGTTAAAGTCATGAAAAATTTATTTATCATAAATTCTCTAATTTCGGTGTAAATAATGTGCATTTAAAGAAATTAAAAAAAAAATTAGTCGAACTGTGCATAAACTGATTCGAATATTCTTCGCGATAGAAAAAAAAAAACCGGGTTTTGTGATTGGTAAGTTCGGACCTTTACCTACTTCAGCGTGGTCAAAAGGTCGGATTCAGTAATTTTGAGTATGGGTTAGGTATTCAAACTAGGAATGGTTGGTAAGCAATTGTTGTGTATGACATGATTTTTTTTTATTAAACTTATTCAATATGATTTTGTCGCTTCTAATTCGTCTTTTTCGAGGAAGACCATCTTGCCAGAATTTATAATTTTTTGAGTGTAAATTATATTTTGTTGTAGATAAAAGTTACAATTTGAAAAAAGTTTGACCGACCCTAAAATATGACTATTAATTGCATAAATTATAATTTTTAAAGATTAAGTTGCACATTTTACAAATAAAATTACAACTGGTTAGAGGGTATTCATGATAGATCATAATATTTTTATAATCGATCATGAATTTATCTCAAATAATTATAATTTTATATTTTAAAAAGTATTATTTAAATTTTAAAAAAATAATAACTTTTGATACAGTATTAAAAATATTTTGAATGAAAGAGAGGGACTACAAACTTGGTAAATTCAATGGTACTTCTTGTAATTAGTGTTAATGAATGGGAGTTACGATTTAAAATCAATAAGCAACATTTTAAGCAGTTGAGATAGAGAGTTATTGACTGATGAATTGAGCATTTCAATATTTGAAAGAATGAAGTTGCCATCTATGAATAATTAACTTTTATTTTTCGGTCAAAAATTATTCTAATTACTAGATATTAAATTCTTTGATTATAATCTGAACATCACACATTTATTCGAAAAAATAGTTCTCAGCATATGAAGATAAACAGATATACACACAGGTTGTTCGTCAAACTTGATATTAACAAAAACTTCGTAAACCCAACTGTATTTATATCTCTATAATAGATTAGAAGAGAAAAAATGAATGTTGGACCTTGGGGATACTAATATATATATATATATATATTACTTTTTGTTTGTATTTAGGCCATTTTTGAATGGGATTATGACCAGTTTTTATCCAATACATACTACTTTACCAACTTTTATATTGGACAATGAAAAAATCCAACAGAAATTGGCCCAAATTCAACCCAACTTGGACACCACATTCTGCCTCTGACAAGGAGAAGTTACTAAGCACATGTCATATAAACTTGGTGACTTCATTTATTTTTGAAGCCCTATATAATATTAGAGGTGTATTGAAAAACTTGTACCAACAAAGCCTTGTCGGAAGTGCTCTCTCCTTGTGGTTCTGCAGTCTCCTTCTAACCTTCAAAAAATGCAGCCTGAAACTGCAACAAAGTTCAGTTCAATCAAACACAAACTGAGATATTCTCTTGTGGGTAATCTCTGCAAAGCACTCTTAATTTCAGGGCTATTTCTGTATTTGATCTTCATATTTGTTTCCAACAATCCCAACTACCCTGCTTCTGAATTCTTCTCTCCCTTGAGACTCACATGGCCTCTTCCAAAATCAGAAATTACAGACTCCACCACAAATCTAAACCACCTTATGTTTGGACTTGTTGGTTCTGTCGATGCGTGGAGACACAGAAAAGCCTACATAGAATCATGGTGGCGGCCCAACGCCACAAGGGGATACCTGTATTTAGACACAGCTCCCACAGAGGACCTTCTCCCATGGCCGCCTTCTTCACCCCCTTTTCGGGTCTCGGATGATAACACAGAATTACTAGAAAAGACCAAACATGTAGCTCCAATTATGGTTCGGATGGTGCATGCCATTTTGGAGGTTCTCAGAGAAGAGCATGAAGGTATGAGATGGTTGGTAATGGGGGATGATGACTCAATTTTCTTTGTTGATAACATGGTGGATGTTCTAGCCAAGTATGATCATACTAAGTACATATATATTGGTGGACATTCGGAGACTATAATGTCGAATGTGTATTTCGGGTTCAATACGGGTTTTGGAGGAGCTGGATTTGCCCTGAGTCACCCTTTAGCAGTAGCCTTGGCCAAAAACGTAGAAGATTGCTTCATGAGGTATCCATACTTGAGGTCTGCAGATCAAATTACCATGACATGTATAGCAGATATTGGAGTTACTCTCACTGCAAACAAGGGTATTCATCAGGTAATTAATTCTATATTTGTACCTCCGAGATTATGTCCAAAGCTAAAATAAACTAACATTTTGTTTGGTTTTCTTATACTTTTTCCCTTTAGGAGTAAAGGAGTAGGCTAGACAAAAATCATGGTATGTTTTTGATTATATTAATTTTGGGTTAGATATAAGCCTCTCTCCAAGAATTTTAACCTTGGGAAGTAACTTTTATGAGGTTTTTCACATGTTTGGTTTACCATATTTCTTGGGTTATGCTATTACTATAAATACAAAGTAGGCGTGTGGATGGAGCATATTCTTTGAGTACGAAATCAATGTGCCCTTAAGGTCATGTTTTGAACTTTTTTGTATCCGAATCAAGAAAATTACTTATGTTCTGAAAAAGATATACTTACAGAAAAATTTCATATTCATATTTGTCACTGCAGATTGATCTACGTAATGATATATCAGGTTTTCTCTCAGCCCACCCACAATCCCCTCTCCTCTCTCTCCACCACTTTGATGCGGTGGATCCCATCTTCCCCTCCAAGGACCGTTTCGAATCGACAAACCACCTCATGAAAGCAGCAAAACATGACCAGTCTCGTTTACTACAGCAGACCATATGCTACCACAAACAAAACAGTTGGTCCCTCTCCATTTCCTGGGGATATTCTTCCTATATTTATGAGACACTTATACCCAAAAGCATTCTCAAGAGACCCCTCGAAACGTTTCAGCCGTGGGTGTGGAATGCAAACGCACCATTTTATATGTTTGATACTAGGGGACTTTCAAATGATCCATGTGAAGCTCCACATAGTTTTTTCTTTGAATCTATAGAGAAAACCAGAGGAGGAATTATTACCAGATATGTCAAAGCTTCACCTCGTGGATTACCGGTTTGTTCTTCAAATGGCAATCACTCTGCTGATCATATATCCAAAGTTGAGGTCTATTCATCACCGACCAAGCTCAATGAGGTGAGTGTGTTATGAGTTTTTATTTTCCAAATTAGTTGCGGTAAAGCTATGGTACTGAAAGGTTAATTTTTAATACGTACTAAAAGTAACTATAAAATAAAGGTGAGTTTAAAACTCAATCTAGTGAGGTCATGAAAAAAATGGTGAAGCTCAACAGTGGTCCATTAAAGCAGTTCTGCAAGGGCTTTGGCATTTGGCATTTTGAATTTTTACTCTTCCTTGGCCTATACCTAGTGCAATGGGAAGGTCGATGCCTCCAACAAGACTATCTTCATTGGAATCAAGAAGAGGTTGGAAACGACCAAGGATAAGTGGATCTATAAGTTACTGAACATCTTGTGAGCTTACCGAACAAGGCCTCGATGCTCAACTAACGAGACCTCTTATGCCTTGGCCTGTGAGATGGAAGTCGTGATACCTCTTGAGATCGGCCTCCTGACCATCAGAAGACAAACCTTCGAAACAAGAAACAATGATCATCCAATATAACGGGAATTGGACCTTGCTGAGGAAAAGAAGGAACTTGTAGCCATTCACATGGCTAAGTATCAAGAAGAGCTGGCCAGACAATATAAGGGGAAAGTTTGAGCCTGAGAGTTCCTAGGAGGGGACCTAATACTTCTTAAGTTGTTGGAAGTACTCGGGAACCAACCGAAGGCAAGCTCGGTCCCCCAGTTGGGAGGGGCCCTACAAGGTGGTGTCTTCGGAGGGCTCGAGATCATATGAGTTGGAAGATCTTGAGGCAAAATCTTTCCCCCGACCGTGGATTATATCAAACTTTAAAAAATTCATCCATTGAATTAATGAATAGACATTTTTTGAGATAAATGATAGTTGTTTTTAAGACTTGCTTTTTTGCACGAGCCTCAAGCTCGGTCGTTAAGGGCCATACCCTCGAGTGAAAAATATCTGCACCTGGGCGAGACAAACTTTGCACTAGAAGAGCACTACACCCAAAAAGACCAAGAGATATGCCTTCCTTAGAAAGGGATAAATCCCGAGTGTCGAAAGGTACCCCCAAACGTGTGTGCTATGTGATATGCTAAAAACAAGGCAAGAAAGAACCAAAACGGAAATGTCATTGACATATCGAGGGCTTTTCATCCCTCTCAGCATACAAGAAATAGAAATGGCCTTAAGCCTTACAACCAAAGAAAATGAAGATAATCAAAATAAATCCCCACCGGGTCTTAGAAGTTTCAAGTTTGGCCATCATCATCCCAACCACCTCCTACTTGATCCCATCCACCGAAATCACCTTAGCCACCTCCTTGGCCTTCGCCACCTTGCTTGCGGCAGTTAATGTCCCTGAACAAACAATCAAAATTCCCCAAGTCCGCTAGGGGCGAGTGGCCTTGTTGGTTAACCAGGGTTTCGGAGGAGGAGAGTCCTAAGTAGCATCCTGAAGCACGACAAGGAGAAATTGAAAGGGGGAAGGTTTGTCACACTCTGTCTCATCCCTGTTACTTATAGGGATAACAGCCAGGGGAAGGTCCTCCCTTGCAATGTTGGTGTCGCCTTTAGCTTTATCCTCTTCCTTATTCGACAAAAGGGTCAACACGAAAGCTTGCTGAAAGAAGAACTCCAATTTTGTACCAACCCTGGCAAACGTGAAACACAACATCCCATTTGTCCTTGAAGGACTTGTTAGACTCGACGACAGATACCGTCAGCTCGGCCTCTGCCATCCTCCTATCGGCCTTGGTCTTAGTCTTTTTGGTTTTCTCAAGCTCAGCCAAGAGGCTCTATACCTACTTCAAACATTGGTGACCTTGAAAACTTTGCTCCGATGGTCTTTTCACATTCTTGAACTTGTTTTTTGAGGTTCTCTATCTTAGCCTGGGCCTTTTTGCTTGCAGAGCAATTGGCATATAACCGATCAACGCTAACACCCATTTGTTGAGAGGCCTACATTCGACCTTCTCCAAATTAGATGAGGCCTATTGGAAAATAAAAAGGAAGACTAAGTGAACTTACCTCTAAAACATTCTGAATTGAACGAAGTAGGCCATTGTCCGAGCAATTACAATGCATGGTCATGTTAGCCTCGAAATTGAGGGCTCCGCTAATTGTGAAGACAACATCTGGGGGCTGGACAATAGAACCAGAGGTCATTACCACCCTATCTTTTCGAATGAAGACCTACGGGTTCCATTATGAAGGTTGACCCTCTAGTTGTCGAGGGGCTTGTGGTAGAATGATGCTCGATGGGGGAGGAACTTATTGGATTAGGGGAACAGATGGGGCCTCTTGGCGGCGCTTAACACTCCTTCCATCTCTAGATTCGCCTCTTGCCTTTGGTGTTGATCCACATGCTCTTGCTCTGTTTGGACATGGGAAAGCGACAAAGGTTGATAGGGCCGACTACGGGAGCCGGTAGCCCAAGATGAACCACTGGGTCCTCAATGGCTTTCTTGAAGGGAGGCAACCATTCCATTTAGGTTGTCAAGGGTGATCCTCGACATCCTGGACATCTCCGATTCTTCGGAGTTGATCTATGAAGACAAGGAGACAGTGTAAACGGCTTCGGGTTGCTATGAATCCCGATCACTATCCTCTTTAAAGTTTACTTCTTTAGATGACTCGTCGGTCCAAGCCGAAGGGTTGAAAGGAAGAGGGGTTTTTTGATCAAAAAAAAAGAAAAATAAGAGGGGTTTGGAAATGTAGCCATTTATGTACTTCAACAACATGTGGGAAAATCATCCAAATGTCATATCCTTGGTAGCTTAATCGGATTTTGGAAAAAAACCAAAAATCGAAGAGGCTAGGTAGCTTCTTCCATGACCCCCCCTCACACCATGTGGCCCACGACATGAGTAAATTAAAGGCTAGGGCAGTTGAAGCGACATGTGAATTGGTTTGCCTGTCTCTAAGTGACAAGTGGATAGGGATGGGTCCCACTAAGAGTATTCAAACTCATGAACAATTAATTTAAGGTGGACCTGTGAGGCCGAGCACCTCAAAATCCTTTGGGAGTATTTGTAGAACCCCCAGGGTGACTTTTTTTCCTAGGTCCGAGCAGTAATAATGATCCACTAACATAATAGATAGTAGGGAATGATTAGCTGCGTTGTCATAACCACATGGGAACCTCATGAAATTCTGGAAATGTCGATTGAAGGTATGACTTCTGTTGGCGTGGATCGGTTCGAAAGGACACCAGTTAATATTCGGTGCAAACCATTTACATGCTCAATGAGGCTCATTAAATGCTAGCATAGGTTTTTTATTTTTGGACAATGTTCATTAAATGTTTGGTCTCTCGAGAAAGATAAATGTTGCGATGTTTGACCCAGAATGATTGACGACCTCTCCTAGGTCGACTGGTTTGATGTTACCCTTTGGACTCCACTTCATCACCTCTTAAGATATAAATAGCTTAAAGGGTTGGAGCTCAGGTATACACGCGAAACTCAGTTTATACTGTAGCACTCTTATCCACTCATTTGAATGCCGACTAACTTAGGCATTGAAAGAAATATGCAAATTACACATCTGACCCCTTTCTATCGTTGTTTCTTATTTCAAGAATCTTAAACCTTATTGGTGGGACTCTAGGTGACTTTACAGTCCCCAGGTTGACACGTGGAATAATGAAGCCGTTGGGATATCTAAAGGGTGCTGAGGAGGTAAGCTGAGATATGGTAACACGGAGCAACCGAGTACGACAGCTGATATCGTATTTAATGCGATGTGACCCTTCATTTATGACGGAATGAGTGACAGTCACAAGGTAAATAAATGCGCGTCTGCCAGCACCTACCCTTTGGGAGTCTAAGCCTACTGTCATGATGGCTAAGCATTAATGGCTGATGCGCCGAGACAACGCGATCGACTCTCCCGAAGAACTGTTCCCTCCGAGTATTCAATGCTCAGTTGATGTCGGATGCCGATCTAGGGGATTTGGGTACACGGGGAGTGGCATAAATGCTCGGCATTTGGCCGAACATTTATCCTATTTTCCTAACATTCAATAGGAGGAGACGTGAGTAAAAAACACTCATTACACGAGGAATAGTGTGTCAGATGAAAGATGTTCAGATGGGACTAGAGATCTTTGGCAATCATTGCTAATTCAAGTATAAATACTCCTCAGAAAAATGGACAAAGGTACGCAAACTTGAATCAGAAAAATAGTCCATTGAGCAAAACTCTTCGATCTTATACTGACTTAAGCTTCGGAGGGGATTAGCCGGGCGCTCGCCTGCCCCTTTTTTTCTGACCCTGTTGTTTCGGGTTCATCAGCTTGGAGATCCCCGTCTCATACTATTGCAAGAATTATCCCGTGGACTTATATTTCGTTTGGTATGATGAAAAATAGAAAGATGAAAAGTTTGAAGGATAGATAAAATATTATGTTTAGTATGGAAGAAAAATAGGAATTAAGAAAAAGTAGATGTATTAACTTTTCTTTCAACTTACCAAAATTAATTCCTCTAAAATTGAAAGGAAAAGTAGATGAAAAATTAATTATGTGTGTTGAAATGTATACTATTTACCTATATATCCTTTACATATTATATATGCATTAATTTCATATCTAGATAAAATGATAAAATATGTCTCTATGTTTTTTCTATTCTTCTGATTTTCCATCTTACCAAACACAAAAAAATAAAACATTCATACTTTTCATCTCTCCTAACAAACATATTCATCCTGTGAAAGATAAAAAATGTATCACTCTCATTTTTTATCCTTTTATTTTTTTATAAGAAATGCTATTTTGACCTTATTTGGAGACCTAATGATGTACAATCATTGGATTGATTGTGAATTCTATAAAACATTGGAACTCACAATTAATTTAATGATTGAATTGAAGTCATATCATTAAATTTACAGATAAATTCCCTATAACATTACTCTTTTTTTATCTACCCAACTAAACACCCATTAATACCTCCAAATGTTGCTATAAAAATTAAAAAAAAGACTTAAAAAGTGGGATACCTTTTTTCCTTCATCTACTGAATAAAGGGTGTGTACCACTGAAATATTTCTGCTTTTTGAAGGAATCGCTAATAACTTTAATGTAAGTGGTAATAACTTCAACGAAAGATGGATACAAGTGGAATATTTCCTTCTTCTTTTTTCTTCCTCAACATAAAATGCTCATGGCATCAAAACCTTTACACAACTAACATGTTTTTTGTCTTCTGTTTAAAAGATTTCACCAACACATATTTATCAAATATGAAGGACGTTACACTTGGTTGTGTACGGCTATATATAATTTTTTAGGATTTATTTTAAAATTTTCGGGAATCATTTATCACTTGGATTTTTGCGGTCATACGTAAACATTTGCGATTGATCCTAAAGATCACAAACCCCTAAAAAATTGTAACGTGAACTATAAAAATTGTAAAATCACCCTGAAAATTATAATTTTTTAGGATTGATCCTTATTTTTTTACTCATAATTAGACCCCAAAAACTTGTATGGTTCAAACTACTAAAATTATTTACTTCGATACTAAAGTCAATTCCTTCAAATATAATCTTATATTTGTTGGAATTACTCCAATGCTAGTTTGGTTGCACAAATTGTTTTGATACCACTTTGTTGAATTTAAATTCCAAAAAATAAATAAATACTTTAATATCAAATGGTATCGAATTTTTTGCAAATCTAATTCTCTCTTTCTATCTCTTTCAGAGTGGAAGAAGCGAGTGTTGTGACTTGTTAGTCATGGATCGCAAGGGCCTGGCGGCAGTCAAATTCAGGCTTGCGAGAAGGATGAGATAATTGCTTATTTGTAATGTAACATGAAATATAGTTATTATGTTATATTGTTTGCACATGTGCTCAAGAAATGTGATTTTATCAAGCAAAATGAGGCATTCCAATCAACAAAATATCAAGAACATTTATTTGAAATTATTTTGTTTAGAATGACACTGATACCACCTCTTGAGAGATAGAAATTGAAGAGAGGAAAGATATGAAAACAAAGTCTATGGTACATCAATGTATTATTAACTGGCTATCAGAAAGTGCGATCATCGCAGCACTAATGCACTAAATCTCACCAGAACTCTGTAGTTAAGTGTGCTCGGATCAGGGGCGGCTCAAACCAATTTGAGGCCTAAAACTAAAATATTAAATGAAGATTTTTTTATTTTTAATATTATTTTTTAAAAAATTAATTTATTTTCTATGTAAGAGGAAGACAAAAGAATCATGTGTTAATATTGTCGAGAAAGAGATTTTAACTTTTATTTTTGTTTTTTTACCACAGAGAGTAAGAGTGGGTGTTTAATTTCAATTTTTATTATGTATTTTTTTTTACCGGAGAGAAAGAGAGAGAGTAGGTAGGAGTAAATATGAGTTGACTTTTGAATATTTTTTTAATTTCTAAGTTTTTAATGTTATAGATTGAATTAGAGGCTCAATTTATTGTAATAAAAATTTTGATTAGATTTAATTTTTTTTGTGGGCTAGTGATGTACCTAAATTTATGGGACCTTCTAAAAGTTTGGGGCCTAAAGCCCATGCTCTTTTTTTTTTCTATATTGTTGGGCCGACCCTGGCTTGGATGAGAGTAACACTAGGATAGATGATCCCATGGGAAGTGCTCGTGTTGCGCCCTTTTAGACTTGCCCAAATGAAAAAAAAAAACTAGTTATTTGAAAATCAATTACATGGAATCCTACCAAATCTGAAAACTGATTACATGAAACTCAACCATACTCTTAGGGTGAAGAATCGATACTATTCAAGAGCTACTATATGTCTATGGTTCCTCCCGATTTTAATAAACCTATTCATGGCATATTACGACACTTTCAATTTGTTACCCATATGGTGTGAGGTTCTCACATATAATTTTCCAAGAAACTCCCCTCATGTGTGAACCACATCAAGTTTAACCCCTTAATTCTGATTTGTT